ATCAGGCAAAATGAGTAGATTGGATCCACATTTATGCCTCCCTCACTGATTATCTCTGTGATCATTTGAACATTTAATATCATTACATCTTTGTCTACAAAATGAAGAAACTAGAAACTGACCTCAAAACCATGTTTTTTTGGTGGGGATGGACACAGCCGTTCATCTCAAGTGCCCAGCAGAGGCTGACTATCCGGCAGGAGTCTCTCCTTCCTTTAGCACACCCTCCCACCCCCACAGTTACATTCAGGAAGCCTTTGTTCGAAAGGTATTCCAAACACCAGAATTCCCACATTGAAATTGCTACTCTCCAAAAAATGCTGATTATAACTGAACTGGGGTTATATATATATCTGTGGAGTGCAGGCCTAGCATGCTCCAGGCCCTGGCTTTAATCCCCTAGCTCTACCCCCCCCCAACACAAAAAAAGGCATATGCATAGCACTCCAGATACATTACTTGAATCTGAATCTAGATCACTGTTTAGAAAATAAATCAATTCTTAGGCTGGGATTGTAGATTAGTGGTAAAGCACTTGCCTAGTATGTGTGAGGCACTGGGTTCGATTCTCAGCACCACATATAAAAGAAATAGATTAATAAAGTCCATTGATAACTAATAAAAATATTTTAAGAAAAAAGAAAATAAATCAATTCCAAAAAAAAATCAGTTCCCAAACTGGCAAACTCTAAAATGAATATTACCCTCCATTCCAATCCCAACCAGAAATCTTACTTTTTAAAATACAAAATTATGTACAGCACAACCTCCAGACCTCCACATGAGGAGTGCATATTTCTATTATCAATTAAGAATAATTCCTTGTGGGGCTAAGGCTGTGGCTCAGAGGTACAGTGCTCACCTAATATGCTTGGGGCATTGGGTTCGATTCAAATCATGTATCTGGAGTGTTATGCATTGGCCCCCCTTTTTTTTTTTTCGGTAGTGGTGGGGATTGAAGCCTGGGCCTGGAACATGCAGACCCCGCCCTGTTGCGTTCTCAGTCATCAATGGGCATCACTCACACCCGGGTGGTCTGTGAAAATGCCGGTCTCGAGGTCCCACCCCCCAGGAACTCTGATTGGCGCGTCTGGGTGAAGCCAGGGAATCTGTATTTTCATGAGCTCCCCCAGTCCTCATTCCTAGGTGCGTCTATTCCAGGCGATGCCACAGCCCCTCAAAACCTCAACAGGTCACCTGCATCCACTGCACGGGAAAGCGGCAAGACACAAAGTAGCAACCCGTGCTCTAAGGAAGGGAAAACCCATCAGTCTGGGATGGCTTCAGAGAGTCCCTTTTCCACAGCCCGGCCTGCCTCTTCCACACCTAAACTGCCCTCGCGGTCGGCCGCTGCGGGGAGGGCACGGCATTGGCAAATCCTGTCCCTAGCAGGAGACTCTTTCCCCAAAACTGGGGAGGGTTGCGGGGACAGTGTTGTCAATCCGCCAACAGGAGCCCCTCCCACCGTGTTGCAGCTGT